CTCTGTGTCTCACTGTGTCACTCTGTGTCTCTCTGTGTCTCTCTGTGTCTCTCTGTGTCTCTCTGTGTCTCTCTGTGTCTCTCTGTGTCTCTCTGTGTCTCTCTGTGTCTCTCTGTGTCACTCTGTGTCTCTCTGTGTCTCTCTGTGTCTCTCTGTGTCTCTCTGTGTCTCTCGGTGTGTCTCTCTGTGTCTCTCTGTGTCTCTCTGTGTCTCTCTGTGTCTCTCTGTGTCTCTCAGTGTCTCTCTGTGTCTCTCTGTGTCTCTCTGTGTCTCTCTGTCTCTGTGTGTCTCTGTGTGTCTCTGTGTGTCTCTGTGTGTCTCTGTGTGTCTCTGTGTGTCTCTGTGTGTCTCTGTGTGTCTCTGTGTGTCTCTGTGTGTCCCTGTGTGTCTCTGTGTGTCTCTGTGTGTCTCTGTGTGTCTCTGTGTGTCTCTGTGTGTCTCTGTGTGTCTCTGTGTGTCTCTGTGTGTCTCTGTGTGTCTCTGCGTGTCTCTGCGTCTGCGTCTGCGTCTGCGTCTGCGTCTGCGTCTGCGTCTGCGTCTGCGTCTGTGTCTGCGTCTGTGTCTGTGTCTGTGTCTGTGTCTGTGTCTGTGTCTGTGTCTTTGTCTGTGTCTGTGTCTGTGTCTGTGTCTGTGTCTGTGTCTGTGTCTGTGTCTGTGCCTGTGCCTGTGCCTGTGCCTGTGCCTGTGCCTGTGCCTCCTGTGTCTGTGTCTGGGTCTGTGTCTGTGTCTGTGTCTGTGTCTGTGTCTGTGTCTGTGTCTCTGTGTGTGTGGGGGTGGGTGTGGGTGTGTGTGTGGTTGGGTGGGTGGGTGGCTGGGTGGCTGGGTGGCTGGGTGGGTGGGTGGGTGGGTGGGTGGGTGGGTGCGTGGGTGCGTGGGTGCGTGCGTGCGTGCGTGCGTGCGTGTGTGTGTGTGTGTGCGCGGAGTGCCAGAATACCCTGCCATCACTTCTGCTTACCGCAGGGGGCGTGGCAGCCATCTTCCTCCACGCCAACGAAGCTATGGAAGTTTGGCCGGAAGCGTTGAGGGACGCCTCAATGCGTACCTGCAAGTGATCTCTGAATGTCCTTTTGGTGCCCTCCCTGAACCGCCGTAGCTTCTTGGTTCCCTGTTAAAGTACTAAAGGGAAGCCAAGTGACTGTGAGCCGAAACTATTACTCGAAGACTTACTCAGTACTTTGGTGAGTACCCTCCTTCGGGAGTTCAAGTGTGATCACCCCATCTTGGGGGAACCTCGGGTGTACCCATCGTGTGACCCCGGGCCGGTTCGCCGGAAAATTTGACCTCAACGTTCTTATCATACTCCAGCGGAATTTCACGTTTAAGCAGGAACGAGGTTTCACTAAAGGGAAGACAGCCACTCGATCATAGTTACGTTTCACCTTCCTCGCTTTCGTCGTCCGTGTGTCCCGTCTGGCTCTTCGCCCGTTTAGGGATGGCTTCCTCTTCCTCCCGGTCTCTTCTTTCTGGTTTTCGCGACCCGCGTGTTTGTCGTCCTTCTCTTCGCCCGCTTAGGGATGGCCTGTTTGTCCTCGCGGCGTCCATCTTTCTCCTCGTCGTTGTCTTCTTGTCTGTCTACCTGTTCCTACTCCTCGTTTTCCTCGCGCTGTTTGGCTTGCCGTCTTCTTCCCCTTCCGTTGCTATTTCGTGTTCGTCTTCTTGGCCCCTTTGCGGGATTCGACGCCCTCCTCTTCGAGCCTTGGCCTTCATCCTCTGTGTCTGCCTGGGCGGGACGCGACGCCCTAAAAACGCATACTACAACCTCTCTCCTCCCCTCCCCCCCTCTCCTTTCCTCCCTCTTCCTTCTTTTCTTCTTTTGTCTCCTTGTCTTCTGCTTCTCTTTTCTTTGCTTTTCTTTTCTCTCCTTTCTCCTCTCCCCGGGCGGGCTGCGGCGCCCTAAATACGCATCTCGCCCCCTTTGTCTTCTTTTCTCTCTTTCTTCTTCTTCTCTTTCCCTTTCTTTCCTTTCTCCTTTCCCCGGGCGGGCTGCGGCGCCCTAAATACGCATCTCACCTCCTTTCTCTTCTTTTTTTTTTCTCGCTCTCTCTTTCTTACTTTCCTTCTTTTTCTCCTCCCTCTTTTCCTACTACTTCCTGTTGTTCCTCTTCGCCCGTTTAGGGATGGCGTGTTCGTGGTGTCGTTCTTCAACTTCGCGGTGCTCTTTTTCTACCAGGTTTAGGAGGGTTTCTGGGCTGTTTGGGGTTCTTTGCCCTTGGCGGTGACCCTAAACTCGGGTTCCCCGATTTTTCGTGTTACTTGGTTGGGTTTTGCCCGCGGAGACCCAACGTGGGGCCTTTCTGTTCTTTTGTTTTCCTGCTCTGTTTGTTTTCTGTCGGGTCTTCGCCCGGTTTTGGGGCGCGTGTTTTTCCCCCCCAAAAAAGTGATTCTCGCCCCTCTTTGAGGGGCGTGTGTGTGCGGAGTGGCAGATCTTGCACCACTTCTGCTTACCGCAGGGTGCGTGGCAGCCATCTTCCTCCACGCCAACGAAGCTATGGAAGTTTGGCCGGAAGCGTTGAGGGACGCCTCAATGCGTAGCTGCAAGTGATCTCTGAATGTCCTTTTGCCTCCCCTGAGCCGCCGTTGCTTCTTGGTTCCCTGTTAAAGTAGCTAAAGGGAAGCCAAGTGACTGTGAGCCGAAACTATTACTTGAAGACCCACTCAGTACTTTGATGAGTACCCTCCTTCGGGAGTTCAAGTGTGTGTGCCAGACATACCATGTTGCTTCCTGATATCATAGCCATTGATCAGCTTTGCGTGTTTTGTCCAGCAAACATGCTCCGGTGATTTGAAATGAGGGTTGAAATGTGCGGAGGACAAGTGCAAGATCGGCATGGACGTGGCCGCTTCCGAGTTCAAGGTGGAAGGTGCAGACTGCTATGACCTGGGCACCTGGTATCCTGATGCTGAGAAGACCCCGGAGCTGAAGATGACGGGAGAGACGCTGGCAGACTTCTATGCCGACCTGTGCAAGAACTATCCACTGATCACCATTGAGGATCCGTTTGATCAGGATGATTGGGCGGCATGGACCACATTCACAAGCAAGGTGGGAGGACCGACTCAGGTCGCTGTGGCTCAAAAGTACGAGCCGATTCGGAAGAGTTGAAATCCTAGACTTCTGTGTGTATGTGAATTTGCGCATTGAACACATTTTGAGACCAGCTCGGGGTCAAGCATGATCTGAGCCACGCTCAGGTTGTAGGAGACGATCTGACCGTCACGAACGTGTCCCGTGTGAAGAAGGCCATTGATGACAAGGCCTGCAACGCCCTGCTGCTGAAGGTGAACCAGCCGCTTGTCGTGAGCAGCACTTCTGAGAATCTGGACTCCCTTTGTTTGTCCGGGTCTGAAAAAACAATAATAATAAACCAAGCATTGGGGCTTGCGTGAGAAGGCTCTCTTTGGCCAGTCGTGGTTCCTTCCCAAAAGCAAACAATAGTTAGGGAGGCAGAATAGGGAAGCAGCGAGCAAGAGGACTCCGAAGAGGACAAACAAACAGTGACACTAGATATGCGATTGTTGTTTGAGAGTAACCACTAATTACCCAAAAGAAAACCATCCAGTTTTCGGGCTCCGCTATTCTAAGTCGAAGACACACACATAATATAATATATATATATATATATGTACCGCCTGTGGCTGGCTCCCTCGAAGACCGATTTCCGAGGATTGGCACTGTCTCCGAGTCCATTGAGGCAGTGAAGCTGTGCAAAACCAACGGATGGGGCGTGATGTGCTCGCACCGCTCTGGTGAGACTGAGGACGGAAGCCCCGCTTCCCAGTTTCAACAAGCAAGTAGCGCCAGTTGGGTGGTGGCTCTTTTTTGTTGTTGCCGCGACGCACATGAACTGTCTAAGCCAACCCCCCAGAATCCACGGACCTGGCGCAAAGTCCGGCCCAAAAACAGGCCCGAAATTGGCCCCAAAAAGGGGCTTCCTACTTCGTTTGAAAAGGAAGCGTTGAAGAGAATCAACAGTTGTGCTGTTGCTGTCGCTGCTGCTAATGCTGGCGCTGTGGATGTTGCCGTTGTTCTTGCTTCTGTTCTTGGTTTTGTGTTTCTGTTCTTGTTGTTGTTGTGGTTTTGCTTGTTGGTTGTCGGGTGTCGGTTGTGTTTGTTGTGTTGATTGTGTTGGTTGTGTTGGTTGCGTTGGTTGTGCTGGTTGTGCTGGTTGTTGTTTGTTGTTGTTTCTTGTGTGTTGCTTGTTGTGTGAATTGCGTTGGTTGTCTGGCTGTGCTGGTTGTTGCTGGTTGTTGTTTGTTGTGTGTTGTGTGCTGTGTGTTGTGTGTTGCTTGTTTTCCCTGTTTCTTGTGTCTTGCTTCTTGCTGGTTGTCGTGGTGGTTGTTGGTTGTCCTTTGTTTGTTGTTGCTGCTGCTGCTGTTGCTCTTGCTGTTGCTGTTGCTGTTGTTGTTGCTGTTGCTGTTGCTGTTGCTGTTGTTGCTGTTGTTGTTGCTGTTGTTGCTGTTGCTGCTGTTGCTGTTGCTGTTGCTGTTGCTGTTGCTGTTGCTGTTGCTGTTGCTGCTGTTGTTGTTGTTGTTGTGGTTGTGGTTGGCGGTTGGCGGTTGTTGGTTGTTGGTTGTTGGTTGTTGGTTGTTGGTTGTTGGTTGGTGGTTGTTGGTTGTTGGTGGTGGTTGGTGGTGGTTGGTGGTGGTTGGTTGTTGTTGGTTGTTGTTGGTTGTTGTTGGTTGTTGTTGGTTGTTGTTTTTTGTTGGTTGTTGTTGGTTGTTGATGGTTGTTGGTGGTTGTTGGTGGTTGGTGGTTGTTGGTTGTTGGTTGTTGGTTGTTGGTTGTTGGTTGTTGGTTGTTGGTTGTTGTTTGTTGTTGTTGTTGTTGTTGTTGGTGGTGGTGGTGTTGGTGGTGTTGGTGGTGTTGTTGGTGTTGTTGGTGTTGGTGGTGTTTTTGGTGTTGTTGGTGTTGTTGGTGTTGTTGGTGTTGTTGGTGTTGTTGGTGTTGTTGGTGTTGTTGGTGTTGTTGGTGTTGTTGGTGTTGTTGGTGTTGTTTGTTG